CTCTTACCGATGATGAGAGTCATTATTCGTAAGTACACTTACAAAAAAAAAAAACTCAATAAGATAACAGAATCTAACGAATTCATTCCTTTTGGTTTGGTAGTAGCATCTGACAATAGATTCATTGGTTTTGTTAGTAATGTGTTTGTCAGAGGGTCTCAAGCATAATAAAAAATACTTTATATGATCAAGATTAATTATCTGTACCTCAATGGGACATTCAATTTCACATAGTTATTAGTTAATGTGACATTTGGTAGCCAAATCTCTTTCTCAGAAGTACAATTTTGTGTTTTCTAATTTAATTCCCAGTTAAAATTTTATAAGTGTGGTGAAAAGTATGAAATATAAACTAGTGATCGAGTAACTTGTTTCTTTGGTCTTATTTTCAGTTCAGTCACTAGTCTAGGAAGACCAGGTGCTCCAGGATCGAGTGACTTTGACGCTGCTTTGTTTCGGTTAGATGTTCAAGGAGAACCAATTGCCTTGTCCCATATAGAGATGGAAGAAGATCAGATGGCTAAATCAGAGATGGATGAATATGAAATATCGGAATCAAATTATGATTGGTCTACCAACAATGATATGTTGTGTAGACTATGTATAGCATCTGGTCCGAGCAACCGTCACTACCACGTGCCTGAAAAATTGCAAATAATTAAACCACTAGAAGGTAAAAAACAAAAGCTTTGTAAGTTTTGTGTAAAAAATCGAATTTCACTTTGAAATGATTTAACAATGGTATTTTCAATAAGGACTTCCATAGAGCTAACATAATAAAATATATTAGTCAATATTTTTACTGGAAATAGAGGTTCAAAGACCGTATTATCTACCCATCACTTTGTGTAAATGTTTATTTATTCGGTCAATACTGGTTGTATATTCTATACAGTAATGTTAATAGTAAATATTATTCACAGGAAATAGAGGTTCAAAGACCGTATTATCTACCCATCACTTTGTGTAAATGTTTATTTTGTTCAGTCTATACTGTACATTGATGATAATTATTAAATAATTTGTTTTTCTTGATGAAAGTTCAACTAAAAAACTGATAATCACTAAGGTCCACCCGTGGGTCAGCAGTAAGTCTACGGACTTGTAATACTAAAATTCAGGGCGCGATTACACATGTTGAACTGAGCTCAGATAGCCAGCCTATTGTGTAGCTTTTCGCTAAAACAAAACAACCAGGATATTTTTTTTTCAGAATTTCACTTCCTAACGTATTGTAGTTTTTGATCCAAAGAAAAGGAAATAAATAATTTTAATTACAATTTTAAATGACACTTTTTCATATGATTTTTTTTATGTAACGAATTCATTTGTAAAATATAAGATGTGTGTGTGTGTGCAACCTAATTTCAAACGTGAAAAATCTCAGTTTTTTTCCTGTTAAATACAGTATAAAATATATTTCCCATGGTTTTTAAGCACTAGTTATTTTATAGCTCAGAAACAACGTGCTAAAACAATTGTATTCGAAAACACGTAGGTGTTAAAGCATTAAACATCATTTATTATTCTAATCAAATCAGTTAGCACATTTCTTTGTAGTGATTTATTGTAAACAAATCAGTTAATACATTTCGTTGCAGTGATTTATTGTAAACAAATCAGTTAGCACATTTCGTTGTAGTGATTTATTGTAAACAAATCAGTTAGCACATTTCGTTGTAGTGATTTATTGTAAACAAATCAGTTAGCACGTTTTGTTGTAGTGATTTATTGTAAACAAACCAGTTAGCACGTTTTGTTGTAGTGATTTATTGTAAACAAATCAGTTAGCACGTTTTGTTGTAGTGATTTATTGTAAACAAATCAGTTAGCACGTTTCGTTGTAGTGATTTATTGTAAACAAATCAGTTAGCACGTTTTGTTGTAGTGATTTATTGTAAACAAATCAGTTAGCACGTTTCGTTGTAGTGATTTATTGTAAACAAATCAGTTAGCACGTTTCGTTGTAGTGATTTATTGTAAACAAATCAGTAAGCACGTTTCGTTGTAGTGATTTATTGTAAACAAATCAGTAAGCACGTTTCGTTGTAGTGATTTATTGTAAACAAATCAGTTAGCACGTTTCGTTGTAGTGATTTATTGTACACAAATCAGTTAGCACGTTTCGTTGTAGTGATTTATTGTACACAAATCAGTTAGCACATTTCGTTGTAGTGGTTTATTCCTCTATCGCATTAAAGAGCTATTTTTTACAGGATCACAAACTCTTCATCACTGGAAAAGATTAGCCACTCCCCACCTTGGGGGGATCTTTGAAACAAGATCAGGGATACAGATAAAAGGAGCAGTTCATGTACCCGATCTAGAGCCAGAAAGTTTCACTTTAAGTGATTTGGAAGAAGATGAAGGTTAGCTTTTATTTTCCAAAACGTGACAACAAAAATGTTGATAATTACCTCTGATTTGGACCAATGTAGTTTTCTAGGCAGAAAGGTGTTAAATTATCTTGAGTTAAAAGTCACTACGTAGGACAATAGTAGAAATAATCAGACTGGTTGCATCACATAAGCTGACATAAAACATTAATCCCATGTTGCAATATTCCGGCACTTACAAAGCACTTTAACTTTCTTGTTGAGTGTGCATTTCAAAGGATCTTTTAGTTTTAACTTCATACCTTGTTTTATATAGGTTGCTACAGTATCACTCTACTTAAATCCTTGATCAACAAATAGGAAATAAAGATTTATTTTTTTTAGCTTAAGTTGGATAGAATGAGAAATAAAATATTAAAATTACTTTAAGTATCATGTTTCAGTTTTGACTGGATATTATCAAAAACCTGTTGCTTCATTTCGTACCTGCTCTAGCAGGTTAGAGATAACAAAATAACTTCTCGTACATGTGTATACCGGGATGGGATAGCTGGCATATAAACGCCAGAACTCAGCCCCGAAACTCAGAATTTATAGATAAAACTGTTCATGATCTTATGGCCTGTTTTCTACATATTTTTTTCTAGCATATTGTATTTTCCTGGAAAATTTAATTTCATTTTAAATTGGACAAAATGGATTTTTAAAGAAAGGATTTAGTGTCTAGTATACTCATAAAAGTTTTAGCACTGATTAGATTAAAGGGTTCACAAGAAAAGCATGATATTTTGTTTTACAAAAAACGTATACTGTCATAATATAATCCACTGTATAATTGAAATTCCATTTCAAGGTAACTAGCTGAAGTTTAAAAAATCTATGTTACAACAATAATATTTAGTTGGTAGATAAGAAAAAAAGCAAACAATTGAAAACCACTAAAAATCTGATCTTTTGTACCTATTTACTTAACTTAAAGGTTGGCTTAATAAACTAACGTAAAAATTTTAATGCACTATTCTTCTATGTTGATATCACTTTAACTCTTGGGCATTTCAATCTTTGTATATGTAGTGTACTACCAGACAGGAAAGGGTTTTGTACAAACTTCATCCACATTTACCTTCACTAATTCAACCATCATGTACCCCTTGAATCAGAACCAAGTGTTATCCAGGTAAGGGTGTTTATTATGGAAATCATGTTATCTCGTGATACTCGAAATTAAGTTAAGAATATGAAAAGTGAGATTTTGTTAATCTGAAAAAAATAAAATAAAAGTGAGACTGTAAAACTAAAAGGCAAATTGAGACTATAAAGCTGAAAATAATGTAAGCTGAGATTGTGAGTGTGTTTACTGAGAAATACTTTAAGCTGCTTAAGCTGCCATGTATCTACTGCTGCAAGTCTCAGTTTTCAGTTCCCTTGTTTGTGATAATAAAATATGAGAAGACTCTTCAGCTGTACCACTAAGCTTGTAAAGCACAGGGTATTTTTATTATCATTGCTTGAAAAGCAAGGTCCTAATTTCAGCTTTATCTTTAGATTAATTTCTAAAATTATTTGTTATTTATCATATCCAGTGTTTTTACTTTATTTTTAAAAAACTAGTTATTTGGTAACTTAAACAAAGCAACTTATCATTATGTATAGAGTAATTATAGATAGTTTCGCAGTTCAGAACATCATATCTCACAAATAGTATGGCAATGGAAAGTGAAATTGCATAAGGATGTTAAAGATATCAGGCGGATGCTAATGACACATTCGTTACATTTGACCTTGGGTAATCTAGCCTTGGATATCATCGAACATCTGGACGAGGGGTAACATTTGGATTGTAATACAGTTTTGTTTGGATTGCACCATTGATTCAAACATAGGGAGAACTGGTCAGTCAATTATGCTGAGTTTAAAGAAAAGGTCCAGAACGATTTGTGCCAAGTGCATACTAAGGCCTACCTTGCAATGATAACAGCAAATCAAGAGAACAAGGTCGTTGAGAGACTTCTTAGCAAAGTCGTGAGGCACTACCTGGTTATTAAAGACCTTGACAGAGGCAATTTCCGCTGGGTCTCAATATGAATTAATAACTTCAATCTAATCATTTGAGAGGGAAAACCTTTCAGTGACAGCTGTAGTGACTACACTCAGATAGATTGACCTACCCAAGTACCACCACTATGTTCAGCTACAGCTATACTGAAGGTTAACCTGCTACACAAACATCCTGGAACTACTATTTTCAAGTGAATTGGCAGGACTATCCGGGTCCAACCAGTGCCAAAGACGCCACTGCCTGGATCTCATTCAGGAGGGGAGGAGTGAAGCATCTGCTTTTATTGTGGACTGGTGAGGTACTAGTGGATGAAATTAAATGCCCATACTTTCTTGAGCATCAAAAAGAGTAGGACTATTCGTTCCAACTGATGGCTTGAATATGTTGAGCCATCAATCAACTATACCTGTATTGTGCCAAGCAGCAAAGTAGGCAAAGTTATTGGTACCACTTAACAGCTCATCAGATCCAGGACAATCAGCAGCAAGCAGTTGGATGCCCTCACATATGCTTTAAAAACTGAAGTCCAAGTTGGGTACAACCATTGACTTGGGTGAGTAGAGCTAACTGTTCCCATTGAAGAGTGTAATGGTAAGCCCAGCTCTCTCTCAGGGCCAAGTGGATCTTGTCATGTACTTTTAAAGATACAAGAATGAAAGGCTGAGCCTAGCCAGAACATTGGCAGACCTCCCAATATATCAAGCCCTTCAAATGAGACCACCACATCTATTGACCGTATTGTGGTAAATGGCAACAGGATAGATACTAGAGGAGAGGTAAGTCTCCAGCTCTGTCTAGAATGGAGGTTCATCTTCAGCGTCAGTTGTGAGATGGATGAATTATGGAAATTTTTGTCATCTATGCTTGTGCAACACAAGAACAGATGTTCAATGGGAAAGTCGTCCTATGATGGCCAGATTGCGTTCAGGCTGCACGAATGTATGTAGGAGAGGAAATAACAGTACCCCTGTATACACACGGATGTTCTGTGGTTCACTTCAGGCAAAGTCTAGTATGTTGGTAATGTGTAGGTAGCATTAGCAAGGATACTTCTGCCCAACAAGGGACGAATTCCCAATGTTGTTTTATAACTATGGGTGATCACCTATCCAATCTATGTTGGAATGGTTATAGAGGTATTGTGTGTAATGGAAGTAACTGATGCTTGTTATAATGTTAGTGTTGTATCTGTTGCACCATTGCTAAAGTAAATATATGGCTACCAATACATATTAAGTCGTTGGCTGAATATTACACAAAGAGTATAGATGTAGTGCAGCAAAAACAACTCAGTGCATTTTTAATGTATTTGAGGAACCAAGATAGCTGATTGGGCCAAACAACAGTAACGTAGCACAACACAGATAAAGACAATAATGCTGGCTTCCCTGAAGCGCTAGAGAGATTACTAGTGCTGAGATACAGCAGATATCAAAGGACAGAGTCATACAACCTTCAAAGTGTGCTTGGTCATCTTCATTAATGATTTTCAGGGGGAAGAAAGGTATGCTCTTTGTTAATTTTAGATTGGGGCATGGTGTAACTAGTTCTGATACCTTTCTAACATCTGGATACTGGAAAGTCAAGCTGAATGACGAGATCAGGCTTTAAACTGCTTTTAGCACAATAAATGGCTTGTATGAATGTTGCATCTGGTCTGTCTAACGTGGACACAACGTCTAAGAGGCCAATGGACCTTACATTGAAGGGACTTCAATGGGAGAGATATGGGGGTTTATATTAATGATGTATTGGTCTTTGGTCGTACTTTTAAGTCTGTGCCTGAAAACCTGGAAATCATATTCCAGCATCTAAATAAACCAGGCTTAAAACTGAAACCCTTAAAGTTTCTGATCATGCCATGACCAAATTAATAGTCTGCCGTTTCTTCCCTATCACATCATATTACAAATGATTTGTAGAATATATTCAATCATGGAGATTGTCTTAATATTTTAGTACAAGGAGTAGTATAAGATGCATGAATATGTGAGCTTGTGAGCGTTAATACTAGTAGTAGTCTCAAATTAACACCCAAGTGATAAAGTTGTAAGTCACATCATAGGAAGCACGAAACTTCTAATTGAAAGAAAGTTCCTAAGGAAACACAATAAAAATGTTGGTAGATCCTATTGTCAAAATAAAGGTTAGTTTTGTTTAACATAATTCAGCGTCTGTGTATAGGTTCAGATTTTACAGTAAGTGTTCTGTCCATTGTCACTGAAATAGCAGTAAAGTTTGGTTTGTTATGCATTTCGCGCAAAGCTACACGAGGGCTATGTGCGCTAGCCATCACTAATTTAGCAGTGGGAAGGCAGCTAGTCATCACCACCCACCGCCAACTCTTGGGCTACTCTTTTACCAACGAATAGTGGGATTGACCGTCATATTATAACGCCCCCACGGCTGAAAGGGCGAGCATATTTGGTGTGACGGGGAATCGAACTCGCCAACCGCAGATTGCGAGTCGAGCGCCCTAATCACCTGACCATGCCGAGCCAGCAATAAAGAGAAGCACGAATTTAAAAGGTATTGGTGAAGAGGAGACTCAATTGGGCTTGTGGACTGAGCAGTTCATGGGACCAGGCAGGGGCGTCGAGAACCAGCCCTGCCCCGGAGTCAGTAATATCATTGGGCCCTCCTCCATTATATTTATTAACTTTTGCTGATTTTTTCATAAATAAAATTTAGGTGACAATTTTCTTCATGAACCCAGTTGACCCCCTTGCTCTCCCCTTCTCGTCATCCCTTGGTCCAGAGACATGTTCTGCAGGCAGAGTGAGCACTTGTGAACCCTGTCGAAATATTGCTTGACCAAGGTGATTCGTATACTACTCAACCTGTAAAAGTTTTTCTTGGAGGAAAGTTATGGTTGTATGGAAACAATTACGAGCCTCTTTATACCTACACTCCTAGCCAACCTTTTGAGCAATTAGATTTCATTGACCATGCATTTTCAGTATGAACATTTGTAATTAAAGGTCACATTGTGGATGATTTTGACTATTTTGTTAATCAATAAGCCAATGGTATTTTCGTTTATTTTGTGCCAAATTCTCCAGTATCAATAATCTGCCAGGGAAGGAATAAGTTTCAATGACCAGAACTACAATCATGATTTACTGTTTGGTGAAGGCTTGGACTTTCCTACTAATCTAAAGACACTGAAAACTGGCCTGACTTTTTACTTGATAAACCACATGGATGAAAATGTTTTACTGATCGACATATTGGAAATAGGGATATAGTTAAGTCGATTTTTAGGTTAACTTTAAGGTTACTTGAACCCAGGTAGTACCATTCGCTAGTGGACTCACCTATATACCTGCATATCCTGAAACCTCACTGGACAAAGTATCTTTAGCAGTTCTGGAGGTCATCGAACAGAGTGCTCCCTCAACTCTAATGAAAATAAGCTTACAGACAGCATCAGGGCCATGGGTGTCCCCAACACCTTCAACAGTGGCAGTAAAAAGAGCCAAGGCGACATCTAAGCATTATAATCCTATACTTAGGTGTCTCAATAGAGGGTGTCTACTGAAAGCAAATTGAAAGCATCGAATATGCGTCTTTCTTGGTAGGACCGTTAAATACTGAAGCCAAATAAGACCTTCCGCGAGTTAATCTCCTCAATGAGCAGCTAAAATGCAGGGAAGTAGGAACAAGGCTCAACTAGTACCTACCACCATAGTGACAGAGACTCAGGTCTCCAAAAGATGGACCAACAACCTTAAGATCGAAATAATTGCATAGACCTCATTATCGGTTATAACACAACCCGTAGTAACTGCAAGGACTACCACCATCATGGACCACCTCATTTTGTAGCAGATCTCTGCATTTAAACGGAGTTGTCAATTTCCACACACTGATTGGAGGTCTGTGCCTTCTATAACTGTGAGGAGGATCAGCTTTGGCACAGGCCAATACTGCTATTGTGATGTGAAAAAGTCCACTGTTTATGTGCTAAGCTTACAGACACAAATAAGGCTCTGGCCAAAGCCTAACATATCATCCCGATGACAACAATGGCCACTCGCTAGACAACTGCCACATTAAAAGATTTGTTTTCAGGGTAGGGGTGTATGTTTTAACAGTGTTATTAAAAAAAATAATTTGATGTATTGTACATATGTCTGTACTTCTGTGTTTATGAGTGCGTATTATTTTCAGGATATTTTATTTAATAAGAATTATATATTTATTTATATATATTTATTTATATATTTTAGTGAAGTCCTGTTCAGTTATCATTGTTGAAGGGTTTGTTCTCTTATTTTGAATTTTATATTTTGTTTGACAGATTTAGAGTGTATTTCTTTATTGATTCACTATAAAGATCATTAATATATTTAACTCTATTCCTGCTGAATAGTAAATAGTTTTGTGTTAATGGGTTAATTTAATAAATATGAATGTACACGTGATAATACTGCTTGGTCTTATGTTAATTTTTATTAAAAGTTTTATATTATTATGGACTGAAATTTATTTTGTAGTGTGTTAGTATGTAATTATAGTCTAGTTTGAAGAGTTTTACGTGATTTTCTTTGTTAAAGGGTATTTCTCCTATATTTGTGTGGGCTTACACTTTTAAAGGATTTCTTTAGTATTACTGATCCTTTGTTAAATAGTTTTATTTATGTATTTTGATATATTTCTTTTTATGGGGGTTTACCTTTGTATGTGGTGTCAATGTTAAATGGTTTATTTTGTACTATTTTGATGTACAAAAGTTTTGATCATGTAGTAAATTTTTTGCTTAAGGGCACTGTGTTGTAATTTATTTATTTATTTTTTTGTTTAGGGACGTTTTGTTATAATTTTTAATGTATTTTTTGTTGCTGTTTAGGGAATTTTGTATTAAGTTTCTTTTACACCTTCTTTGTCAATGAGTTTGATGTCTGAGTGGGGTATAAGTATTTTTACGAACGAGATATATTAGCGTGGAGGAACACAAACGATTTGATCCAAAACAATTAAGCTGTATCTTTTGAAAACAATGTACCTTAATGTTGTCCTTCGTACAGCACTCACGAAATAAAACAAGAAAAACATGTTGATTACAAGCTAACACCAATTGAAAGGTGTGTGCGTGTGTTTATGTATAAATAAATCAAATAATACCAATTAACGTTTCATTGGATTTGTTTTACATGCTATTTTCAAGTCGTATCAAGCAAACGTGTTTGATATTTAAAAAATGGGTAGAAATTTATATGAAACAAATTCTAAGTAAATTTCAATGTACTTATTAAGCTTGTTTAATTATTTGTTTTTTGTAGTGATCATCGCTAGATAATAAAGCTGGAAAACATAGTGAATCCAAACTTTTGACAAATATTTCTAAAATTTATTTACAGAATCACGTAAAATTTAGATTATAATATTAATACCACGTAAAATTTAAATTATAATATTAATATTGTTTAATACAGCTGTTTTAGATTATATTCATTTAATTTTCTTAACTTTTAAAAATACGATGTGTTCAGTGCCTAATGTAAACTTAGTTTAAAGTGTTTTAAATTACTGAAAAAGCAAAGATAAATCACATATATATAGGTTGTAGTGAAGGTTTTTTAGCTGAAACTTTGAAACAGTATTTGTGTAAAACTTCATATATTTTTAATCATTTAAGATGTTAGAGTTTTTACTCTCATTTTGTTTAATTAGGCACTATTTATCCCATATATAGTTTTCCTGCATGCACGTCTCGAGAAGTTGAGAACAAAGAACAAGAGTCGATTGACATACAGCAGGCTCCTGACAGGAAAACTGATAACACAGAAACAGCTTTGAACAAAAAACTACAAGATCACAAAATTCACGCTATGTTACCCTTCTCAAAATCTTGTTCTAGAGAGGTGTGTTTTCATTGCATTACCCTTCAGTTTACTTATATTTACAATTAGAAGATAACCTTTAGAACTAGAAGAGTAATATTTCCTTTTTTGAGTGTCGGACCTTTTTACATTTGGTGAAAATATATCGAAGTCCAGTCCACGTAACGATAACAAATTAGTTTATTTCTTCCTACAAATATCTATACGTCGCTTGTACATTGTTGTAACTTGTAGGCTTAAGTTTACAAATGATTTTCAAAAGTGAATACCTTGCTAATGGTGCTACGACTAATGTAAAAATAAACTTACTTGTATAATTTCACGGCTAATCGATCGAGGAACTGAATATGCGCGATAATTAACATTGATAGAATGCTTCACTAAATGACTACCACTAAAAACAATCGTTTGACCCAATGCTTCTCGGATTCACTGCTATTTTCCGAATTGACTGGCCCAGTATATTTATATCTGATGTCTTGACAAAAGAGTTAGCACAAAGGATCGCATATAAAGTGTAATAAACTTAAAATAAGACCCAAAACTCGAGCGCTTTCGAATAGTTGACTATTCCTCTGAAGAATAGTTTTTATTTTAACTTTATATCTGATGTCATACTTCTAAATGTTCGTCGATGTCACTAATTTTACTGACGTCATCTAGAATATTTTAGGCCTACTTTTATAAACTTGCTTGATTTTAACGTCATGTGCCATCTAGCTAACATCTAAATTGAAACATTGAAAAAATAGCTTACAGCAAACTCAATGACGTGTCAATATTGATAAAGGAATTGAGCATTAAAATAACAAACACTAAGACCTCTAATAATGAAAATTTCATTAATATTCCTTGATTAGTGAAAAGTATTTCAATTATATGACAAATATTGTCAAGTTTAGAGTGTAACTTTAATTGGAATGGTATTTTCAAAAACGAAATAAAAGAACCAAAACAGTGCAAAAAGTTTGTATTCATAAAACCTTTGACAATACACCCTAGAGTTAGATAAACCCAGGAGAATTTTTCATGTATTGTAAAAAAAATCTTGAACTCCATCAAAATTTGGGTAGGCAGAGGTTAAAAAGTTACAAGGCTTTAAGGGAATAAGTTTAGGCTATTTCATTTTTCATCTAGATTTAGCACTAAAATTGTATCAATATATGAAACATTTTTTAAAAAAACATCACTAGATACGAGTTTCAAATCCGAAATGGGTAAATTAAAAGAAACGTGAGGAAAACAAAATTTATAGATTATTTATCACGAACGATAGGCCTATTATTTTCCAGTGCTTTACTAACTTTCAGTGTTTAAACTAAAACTCAGTATCTGTTTTACTGTACATCACAATTGTTTCCCAAGTTAATGCTTTATTTTATTTTTTTTTTCGTTTTATTATTCAGTAAGTTGAGTGCTTGCATAAATTATATTGGCTTAGATAATCTAGATATCGATGTGTAATTTAAAGAATATTCATATTATCACTTTCCTGCAATGCTGTGAATTTTATCAGACTTTCCTCTGCTTCGTTAGTGTCTATCATTTATCATCTCAGAACAAAAATACTAAAAGTTGAGGTTTATGGATAATGTTACTGAACGAGACAATTGTATTTGGATATCCTTGTAATATGTTTATTTCATGAGCTATCTGATCGCAAAATATTTGAGAAAGATCTTGCAGTTAGAAAGCTCAACTGTTCAAGTTATTTCGATCCGTCAGCAAACTTACTGTTTATAACTGATAAACAATATTACAAATTTTCACTAGGTGCCAGAACCAGGCCTGTGCAATTCCACTTTTACACCAGTTTTTCCACGATCTGTATTGTTTCCTACCATGATGACCTACAATACAGGAACTGTCAACTGGAAACCTACTCAAAAGAGCAGCACTCCAACCACCATTGTTCACATCACTCGTACCACTCCCACTCCTGCCATTCTTAACACTGTATTCCCTGTCTTATCTCCTGTGGAACTGATGGAGAGCCTAAATACTGTTGGAACGACAAAGAAGCATATACCAGCTATCAGCACTAGTGACATATCAAGATGCTACATTCCACGTTTTCCTGCTTCTTTTAGTTTAACTACTCTTTCAGAGAGTTCACCTTTAACCTTGACAAGCAGACAGAAAGGTGAGAAACGAGATTTGTACACGCAAAAAAATGTTTCTTCAAACATGGATGCTGAAGATCAGAAGCCAGAAGCTAGTTGTAAACATCAGGATAAGCAAAACACAATGTATTATTGTCACACTTGGAGTAAAGTCCAACCTGCAATTTCTAGAAATATCTACCCTTTTTGTGTAAGTCCTATATTCCCAATCCATAGTCTAGGGATTGGAGAATCTAATTTGGATTCCCTTAATATGTTTTACATCCTGAGAAAGGGTGGTTTCATATAAGTATTTACTCCTTAAACAACCAGATAAACCAGACATTGAATAAGTGCTGTTAACAGTCGCACAGCGAGAACTTGTAAGTAAACTGACTCTCCATTACTCCTCGTTTAAATTAGTACCAAATAGAGAACATATCAAAAACTGAACATTATCTACAGGTACTACAAAAAAGGAGAGAACATTCTGAACTCCATGGTATACTTTGTACTAGGACTAAGGTAACCTATAACAACAGGTACTACCAGAAAAAAAGAAAAACAGAGAGAGAAAACAATCTAACTCCATAGTATACTTTGTACTAGGACTAATGTAACCTATAACAACAGGTACTACAACAAAAAAGAGAAAACAATATTAACTCCATAATATACTTTGTACTAGGACTAAGGTAACCTATAACACAAAATCAAAAGTTTGTTTGGCTAACAACATTAATTATTATGATCAATGGCGTTTCTATGATTTTTTTTATGTGGGGAATAAGGGGCAAAGAGTTGCTTTGTAGGGGCAGAAGAAATTAATACTTTAATGTCAGTGTGAGTCACAATATAAAGGATTTAAAAATCTTTATAAAAACTATCTTGGATGGGGGCCGCTGAAAACACAGCTTTCCAATGGGGATCTGCCCATCATGGCACTCCGGTAGACATGCCCCTGATTATAGTGATGCTAACACTATCACAGTTGTTTCATAATATTATGCTAAAGTAAAGTAAAGGAAATATATAAAAGCATTAGTATATAATGAGATGAACATGAATTAATTAACATTTTGCAACTAGTGAATGTTAAAATGTTCTGTCCCTGGAAATGTACATTTGTTTTGTTATAAATAATCATAACAACACTAATATAATTGTGTATGTCAGCATGTAATAAAATAGATAAAAGTTCCTATTAAATTTCACAAGGAGTTAAATATTCTTTGATGTTCTTAAGACATAAAAATACATTATGGTTCATAAGTACTTGAATATTGTACAAACATAGAGCTGTGAGATGTGGACCAAAATATTTTTTATTATGAACTTTTTCTTAAGATTAGATGCTGGTATTTGTGAAATATGTACTTAATATTAGATCCTGGTATCTGTGAGATATGTAGTTAATATTAGATCATGGTATCTGTGAGATATGTAGTTAATATTAGATCATGGTATCTGTGAGATATGTGGTTAATATTAGATCCTGGTATCTGTGAGATATGTGGTTAATATTAGATCCTGGTATCTGTGAGATATGTGGTTAATATTAGATCCTGGTATCTGTGAGATATGTGGTTAATATTAGATCCTGGTATCTGTGAGATATGTGGTTAATATTAGATCCTGGTATCTGTGAGATATGCGGTTAATATTAGATTCTGGTATCTGTGAGATATGTAGTTAATATTAGATCCTGGTATCTGTGAGATATGTAGTTAATATTAGATCCTGGTATCTGTGAGATATGTGGTTAATATTAGATCCTGGTATCTGTGAGATATGTGGTTAATATTAGATCCTGGTATCTGTGAGATATGTGGTTAATATTAGATCCTGGTATCTGTGAGATATGTGGTTAATATTAGATCCTGGTATCTGTGAGATATGTGGTTAATATTAGATCCTGGTATCTGTGAGATATGTGGTTAATATTAGATCCTGGTATCTGTGAGATATCTGGTTAAGATTAGACCCTGTCATTTGTAAGATATCTGGTTAAGATTAGACCCTGCCATTTGTAAGATATCTGATTAATATTAGAACCTGGAATCTGTAAAATGTCTAAAAACAGCATTTACATTTGTGTTTCAAAACAAGAGTTTTGGTATTAGAACCCTAGTATATTAGACTATTTTTAATCTTTCAATGGTGCTAAATGGGAAAAAAGCAATTTTTCATTACTCAAGAAATGGAGATAGTCAACTTTGTCAGTCAATTTATAATAACTTAGTCTATGGCTCGGAGTATGTCATACATCATGGTCTTTCACCCCTCGCGTTGATGCGGCAGTAAGCTTGAGTGCTTATAAAGCTAAAATGTGGAGTTTGATCCCTGTGTTGAGCACAATGCATTTTTCTATTTAAAAACCAAGAACTCAATTGTATTCTATGACAGTTTGGGTTGTAGTTTTTGTAAGTACAACTTATCTTATTTGCTACTGTATATTTATCACTTCCCTTTTTTGTGAATTTTTTCTTCCCATAGTAGCTTCAGGAAGAGTGTCATTATGTAACAAAATCTTTCAATAATCCTCATACTTTTATGGCGAATTTTTTGGGCCAACAGTGCACAACAAATATGAAAGGTTTTATAAATAATAACCTTGAACCATTTCAACTAATACAGATGATCAGCATTTTGACTGTAATACTTATTCTCTTGTATCTCAAAGATTAATTTCAAGTAACGAAAAACATATTGCCTTTTGTTTCTCAGGGGATAATCTCCCTTAAAGTATAAATTGCCTTTTTTAAAGGCTAATAGTATATTTCAGTGTTCTATTTTTTAAGTATTTACCCTTATTATTATCTTATTTACTAGTTACATGGTTTATAAACATTTAAGAGGACTTGTAAACATTTTCTAAACAAACACTTCAAACATATTTCCTGGGTTTGTAAATGTCTTATTAAGAACAGTAGATGCAGTTTCGAGAACGTAGGAAACAGCAAAGGGTTAGAGACTCTTACCACACTCGTACAAATACTAGTAGTGTTAGGGTTTCGCCTGGAACTTATAATGTGACCAACTTTATGAAATGTTTATTATCCTTGTTCTGAGCAGCTAGGAAAATATGAATCAAAAGAAAAATCATTTGGTTACACGGATTTAAAAGGATGGCTTAAATTTTACAATATTTAGTTAATATTGAGCTTTAAGCTTTCTTAAATTGTCGATACAGTATAGTTTCACGTCCAATAAGGTTTTGATGATTAGTATAATTATGATATTTGTTCAAAAGAAATGGTTAATATGTACTTAACTGTTAAATATAACGAGATTTCATTGGCCATTCTTTACATTTAACGTTAAACGTTTTATCGTAATTATTATAAAGATCTGTGAGATATATAAAGAAAAATGATTACAAAAAAATCCCCTAGACAGACAAAACGAAGGATATTTTATTTATGTTATGTTTACGATGTCTTCTTTTTATACCTAAAAATATGTATATAAGCGAATTCCGAAACGTTATTGTCGAAATGATGCAAAGTATATTAAGTGATACTTGGTGAAAACGCATGCTATTAACCAAAGAGCTAGTCACCTATATCTATACTAGTTCAAAATAAAACACATGGAACATTTAAAACTCCTTTAATCTGGTACAATCAAGGCATTGTTACCGTTACATCGTGCTTCCAGACTTATGTAAGATGTTTGATTCAAATATAGCGAAATGGAAGCTACAGGTTCTATATCACTGTTCCCCAAATTTCACCCTGAAGTTTACTTGCGATTCTTATTTTAAATGCATGCATAACATCTAAAACTCCTTCATCACGGAGAGACAAAACTTAAGCCTTTTAGTATTAAGGAGCTAAATAGTCTTACACTTGATTTTCAGTTTCAAGAATTAATTACGAATTGTCTAGTGTTATGTGTTTGAAATTTGATTGAAACTTTTAATGCTCTACTGTTAGGATAGTATACTGCCGAGAATTCCAGCCTAAATCCCGGGCAGGGAAGCTTAGCTGTTTTCACACCAAACCAATAACCGTTCCATCCCCGAGGACCATCTATGCTGAAAAGATGGTAAATTTAAAGCACTTAGTATACATACTGTGTATTTGCGTGGGTTTATTATTTGGTTTTTATTATCTGTTATAAGTTTGTGAACCCAGCTTCGTTAAATAGAGTAATATTATAACGGGGAAAGGACTCTGTCGTTAAATACACATCTACTGTTTTTAACATTGTATTCTGCTAGTGTCAACGTTGATGATCGATGTGAGTGTAAGGTGAACTGGGTGTGACGTTTACCTTAGAATAATTATATTATACTATTAGTTCAGTTGATAGAGCATAAATAAGAGAATACTTATGAGCGCTTGGCTATCTTCAAAGCCTAAGGTTAGTTCCCATTATATCTATTTTGGCTTAGTTACTGTTAATATATAATATTGTCATTAAAATGCTGATCAGAGTATATCACCTTGGAAGTTTTGATGGTTTTTTTTGGGGGGCTGATGTAAAAGGATCCAGAAGCAAAGGTTTCAATACCTCCCCCCCCAAATTCATCTAATTTTTAACAACATGATATCACAAATATTTTGCTATAAACGTCGCAACGTTTAAATAAATTTACTCGTATATATATATATATATATTTTTTTTTTTCTCTCAAGTCTAGGAAATATTTCATACAGCCCACACTAGATGGCGAAAGACAACTTAAAATATCACTGATCTTTTCGTCTTGTTAATGAGCACAAATTACTACTTGAAACTTCATTTTATTTTAAAAAACATCAATGATAGTACCTTACGTCTGAAGTAGAATATTTATTTTATGTTACAGTACGAGTACTCGATATATTATGATAATTTTGTTTTTACTTTTATAGTGGTGGCGGTATACGAATTAAAATATATAACTTGGAGGTATATATACGTTTTGTAAATCTACTTGATAATTATAATATTTTATATAAGATAGTCACGTATCACGAGTTTTATGGTATAAATTGTAACTTCATTGGGTATAAGTTTGGTTATCAAAATCAGTCGAACTTTCATGGGTTAGATCTTTCGTTCGGCGAAATGGATATTAAATTTTTTCCACATGTTGCATGATAACAAATAGGGTGTTTTATAAAATGGTTTATGGGAAATTGGCACTTGTAAAAAAAATTTCCACTGATACTGAACCACTAGCTTTATCCCGAGAAAGTAAAAATTCCAATAAGCCATGTATAAAACTAACCTCTATTTTTATCACGCAGAAATATTAGCAGTGCCGTTTCGATTGAAGTAGACAGTTGTACGACTTATGATGTGTGATATTTATGAGTTGAATTAGAGAACTGACAGAATTGCATTATGTATATTGTTTATGTATTACACATTTAATGAAGACTGTAAAGTTAAATATTAAAAATATCTGAATTTGACCCTTCAATCTGTAATTTGAAATTTCATTAGTTTTCGATATAACAATTCTTTATAACTTCATTTATTTGATTATTTAATTTTATTAAATGCATTGGTTACCTTCTACGCTATTAATATAACACAACTCGTCAAATAGATAAATATTACAGATTTGTTAAACTTGTTGTAGCTTCGAATTGGATACATTGTAATGACTTAATATCCCAGTATTTGTCGTATGATTAACTTACAAATATTTCACGTGTGTTATTGCATGTTTTATACATTTTGTTAATTTTTTTCTGTAGGGAACTATTACAGAACTTTAACATTTTGTTTAATGTTTGTTTTCCAGGATATTAATAATTCAGAGGTGGATCGAAATGTATAAGAAATATATTCTAATAAATTAATAATGTTCCTGTCTGTATTAGAAATTGATGGCAAAAAAAAAAAGAGTGAAAAGTAAAGAAGAAATATCTCATCTAACGTAATAATTGGATTTAATTTAAATCAACACAAGAATCAAAAAGCTAAAACTAACAATTAGTGAAAACAAATAACAAGAAAAACTGAAATTCAAACCAATTATATCTTAAAATACAAAACTTGATATTCTACAATAAATGTCGAAATCCTAAGCTAGTATATTTCATAACCGCACATTTTCTGATAGAATGCAGGAGTTGAGTATGTTATATTAGTGTTTTTGGAGCCTAAGCCTACCCGTCGTTACAATCCATGTCGCTACCTACGGTCATGCTCTATCTGGGTACCGTGCATCTTGACAATAGCCCTGCAGCGTCGCTTCCATTGCAAAAGGCTTTTTCGTAAGGTTGTAATATCCAAAACATAATCCTCTTCCCTGCAGGCTTTCCAGTAGTCATTAAGTGTATATGGGTGACGGTTTCAACAGTCTGATCGCACAGAAATCCATAGTTGATGCGACTTGACGTCTGGAATAGCATGAATATCAATTTCTTTCTCCAGCTGCTTGATGTATACGACGGTTGAATGAATATGTCGTGGAAGCAACTTGTGTTGCATTTCCAAACGGAAATCCTTCTTGATTATGTTGCGTACTATTACCGGAGATACAAGCTCTTACTAAAAGCGATCAATTTTCGATGGCATCACATTGACTACAAAACGTCAAAGAATGTCAAAATGTAGTCCTGATAATGTTACTCCATCTCGACTTTATGTTGGCTATGATTGCCACGTGATATACTGACTTGAATATTCAAAATCGTTTTAATGTACAAATACGACGCTAATAATAGGCTAATCTTGATTTTCAGATAGACTATTATATCATTATGTTATGGCCGACCGTGGCCTAGTAACTAGTGTGCTTGGACTGTAAATCCAAGGGTTCATGATTCGCGGCTCGTCGCTGCAAAAATTCGCTTCGCCATTTCGGTCCGTGGGTACACTACAAGAATGTGGGTCAAATTCCCCTATTCGATCAGACAAAAGTAGTCGAACGGATGGCGGTGGGAGCTGTTGACTTTCTGCGTCTTCTTTAGCCTATCAATTCAAAGTCGGAGATGTCTATGCGCAGATAGTTTTCTGTGTAGCTTTGCACAACTATTCGAAACACATCAACCTTTCTTTCACGAAAATATCCCGATACTTAAATGCTACACAAGATTGTATTGCTAGTTAACCTGATAGAACTATCCCACTCTAAACGGCAAATTAAAGAAATACTTGTTTGATCCGAGGATGTGTGCTTTAATAGTTTTTACAGTGCTATGACAGATCAGTTTTCTTGATCTCCTTGACTGTCGAATATTAGACTTTAGGTTTAGCAGATTTCTCTTGGTTCAGATTAAAACTATTTGGTAATAACTGGAGTTGCTTGTTGTTGTTCTGTTGGTTGGTTTTAGCGAAAATCTACACATAGGCTATCTGTGCTCTGTCCACCACGGAGAATCGAACTCCAAATCTTAATGTTGTAAGTCCGTAAACTTACCGCTAACCTACTAGGGGACATGGACCTGTTAAAATATACAAGTTGCATGATTATTTTGTTGGGAGTGTAAACATATGATCATTGAGAAAATCTAGGGAGCAGTCAATGGTACCAAACAATTATAATTCCATTTTTGTAAAATATGAATTGGAGTGTGACTAATAAAACGAGTATGCCTAATAAAAGAAAGGTGCCGGGTTTTAAGGTAAATGATACAGAAGAAAACAAGTGAAATGTATTTTGATTCCCTACACTACGAGGGTTTCTTAATGCATAAGTGGGAAAGTGGGAAACGTTTCTAAGAATAAACAACCTAAGCCTATAACAAGAGCTCCTGTCATCTGCTGTGAAGTGGGGAATGTTTCCATGAATAACAATCTTCTGAGGCATGATATTAGTCTCAGTAATAGTTTCAATAAATCTTTGATCTCGGTAAACAAAGTTTACTGCTGTCATATTTCCTTATAATCTGCAGAACTATCACCAGGACAGAAAATGAAAAATGAGATTCAAGATAGCGCTACAATAAAATATTTTTTCATAAACCCTAAAAGCATGATATCCCTGCTTGTCGAAACAATTGTTAGTTTTGACAACATTTGACGTCATCTCATTTTGAGACTTTGTGAAATAACTTCTACCAGAAGTGCTGTACAATAATAATCATAATTAATAATAAATAATCTTGTTTATGAGTAACAGGTAAACTACAAAAAACTTCTATGAGCACTCTGCACTACGTCATCAGTATGCTACAGACTATTTCGATTTGAACATTTTGTGAACATTATCGGCAACAAATTCAGAAAGTCAATTAGAAAATCTTTTAAAGTTAGACGATTAATTAAAATTAGTTAAAATACTAGAGAAACTATTACATTACTTTTTTATACTTGATGAGAGAAACGAAACATTTGTTAAGAACAAGAAAACTAAGAGTGAGTATTGTATGTAATGTATTTTGCACTTTGAGGGACTGTTTCAAATTAATACTGTTTTTTTTTTCATTTTTTTGAGTTATTCGAGAACATGTCAATTGTGTAAAATATTAATGTCTATAAATTATAGTAATCACACGTTCCGCATAATTCAAACACGAGGTAGAATTTATAAACGTTATTTCAAAATCTACCATGATCTTTGGTCGACAAATTCTGAGATTAATCAAATTAAACATTTGTAACTATTGGTTTAGCAACAACTTACTAAATCTAGTAGTTTATCCTGATAACAATCTTACCAATTATATTAAAAGTTAAATGGTATCCCCATTTCAAGCATGAGAAGTATAATCCACTCTCTGAATTTAACCACTTCAAGAATGAGTGTAACCCAGTTTCTGAATTAACTAACTTCAAGAATGAGAAGTACAATCTAATTGCTGAATTTACTCACTTCAAGAATGAGTATGATCCGGTTTCTGAATTTAACCACTTCAAAAATGAGAAGTATAATCCAGTTTCTGAATTTAACCACTTCAAAAATGAGAAGTATAATCCAGTTCTTGATAATGTAGACAGGAAATGAACTTGTATTTGAGAATGTAATTAGTATGAAGAATAAACGACAGACTAAGCGTTCTAACTAGAAACATTAAACTACATAATATGATATGTGGACTCCAATGGCATAGTGAACGATATAAAAGCAAGTCCGTAAGATGAGGGCTACATCTAGTTTACATATTATTGTAGCCTCCAAACATATGCGGCTTATCACACTTATATATGCATTATCTCATTAGGTTTTATATACAGTGAAAGGACAAACATTTACCCAAAAGTAACATAGATTTTATCCTTTAAACACCATGTGAAAAACTATTAACCACAAAAAAAGTAAAATCTGTAAAGTCAAACCGGAAGAGTTGTTATTAACACAGTTCAAAATGTCGAAGCCCGTGATGAAGACTCTTGACTACATAAAAAATACATGACAATATAGCTATGCAATGAAGCCCACAGCGAGGTATACACCTTCCACTCATTCAGCATTATGATAATTTTCAACACTTACAAAAAGTGTAGGTTTTTGCACCATATTCGAAGGTGGGCGGTACTCCGAACAAGAAAAGTACCAATTTGTTAACAACTAAGATGTATTCACATAGGTTTCTATCAAGCAGTGTCCCTACAATTTGTTAACAACTAAGATGTACTTACAGAGGTTTCTATCAAGCAGTGTCCCTACGATTTGTTAACAACTAAGATGTACTTACAGAGGTTTCTATCAAGCAGTGTCCCTACAATTTGTTAACAACTAAGATGAACTCACACAGGTTTCCATCAAGCAATGTCCCTACAATTTGTTAACAACTAAGATGAACTCACACAGGTCTCCATCAAGCAATGTCCCTACAATTTGTTAACAACTAAGATGAACTCACACAGGTTTCCATCGAGCAATGTCCCTACAATTTGTTAACAACTAAGATGTACTTACACAGGTTTCCATCAAGCAGTGTCCCTACAATTTGTTAACAACTAAGATGTACTTACACAGGTTTCCATCAAGCAGTGTCCCTACAATTTGTTAACAACTAAGATGAACTCACACAGGTTTCCATCAAGCAATGTCCCTACAATTTGTTAACAACTAAGATGTACTTACACAGGTTTCCATCAAGCAATGTCCCTACAATTTGTTAACAACTAAGATGAACTCACACAGGTTTCCATCGAGCAATGTCCCTACAATTTGTTAACAACTAAGATGTACTCACACCGGTTTCTATCGAGCATTGTCCCTACAATTTGTTAACAACTAAGATGAACTCACACAGGTTTCCATCAAGCAATGTCCCTACAATTTGTTAACAACTAAGATGTACTTACACAGGTTTCCATCAAGCAGTGTCCCTACAATTTGTTCTATCTTATTCGTGGCTTGAATAACCAGCAATGAAAATTATTAGGGGTATAGTATTGTTGTCGTCCGTTTAAAGTCCTGGGGACGTTAGCACATTTTAAAGGATTTTATGGATACCCTATAATTGCGAATTATTAAAAAGAAATACCACTTTTTTACTATAAGTATTTAATATCATAAAA